ATCCGGGGCCATTAATCAGTCAGGCATTACTTAGCCAGAAATAGGAACTTGACTGGACTGGACTCACTCCTTTGGCCTGGATGCGGGCGATGGCCACGCCCTCTGTGCCGGCTAATGGGGAGGCATTTAAAAGCTTTCAGCAACCATGAGCAATGTGCCCCGGCCACGCCACAAAGGCCACAGATATGCCACTGACTGAAGTCGAAGAGGAGGCAAAGCGCTGACCGAACCGACCTGCTTGCTCCTTAAACGGCAATCCTTTAATAACCATGCCACACCCAGTCACGCTCTCCGACCCTGCCCCGTCCCGCCCCACCCACTCGCTCGTCGTTTTCGGCCCTCAAAGTGGCGTTCATTTTCACCGATTGAATAGTTCAATCAATTAGTTAATTGCAGCCATGGTCAAGCGGAGTGCACTGCACAAATCGAGGCACTTAGCAGCGGTCATTAGCAGGCAAGTCCTGCGAGTCCAGTGAGTCCGACTGCGGATGTGGCGGTCATGGTAGTTCAAGGGAAGTGAGACGGCGAGATGTGATTGCCAGGAAGGAGCTCTTGCCAGCTGCCAGTTTGCCAGCTTTGTTAGTTTCACAGGAAACCAGATAGCTGGAAATGACACTGGTTAACTGCCTGACACACGGGTCAAGTACAGAGAAAAATAAGATTTTATTTATATATAACAAATACAAACTTATATGAAGACAATACGATACTCAGAAAAGATATTAAATGAAATTATTGTTGCTTAATCTCCATTAGTTTAAGCTTTTTCTTAAATTTCTTTGTTTTTTAAATTCAATTCCGGCACTATTTTTTTCCCGTGTGCAGCGACAATTAAAAATACCTTAGCTTCGGCAGGGGACAGTCAGTGAAATGGTTCTGCAACTCTTTGAAACACATCAGGCGCAGCTGTCCGGCTGCGGAGAAAGTGCAAATGGGGGCGTGGCTGTCGAGAAATCGTCCCACCGCCGGAAGAACACACGGAGCGATGAGAGAAGTCGGATGAAGTAGCGGAAAATGAAGTTTTTCCGAGTTGCATCAGCAGCTCTGTCGCCGAGACAGAGCAAACAAAAACTTAGCAAATTGCAATTCATCGCTCACGCGGCGAAAGGGAAAAGCAGAGGTCTGTGCTTAATAGAAAATAAAAGCAGGCAAGAATCATGTTTTATGTCGCTCTCTCCCCCCCCCAGTCCCTGCGGGGGTAGTTCCCCTTTTTCCATTACAAGCCATTCAGACGGCGCACCCTCGCCTGACAGCCATTACAGACCGGCAAAAATGGCGGCGGCGGCACCCGGAAGTCGGCTGTTGCTGCCTCTCTCTTTCCGTTCTCCGTTCTCCGTTCTCGCTCTCTGCTCGCTGATGAGAAATGACAGGCAATAATGCCGTTAGCCGTGCTCCATCTGCATTTATCATAACTTCTGTGTGTTATTTGCTTTGATGGCGCTGCGGAAAATCTCGCCCCCGGCCGATGATGTTGTTGCTTTTGCCATTCGTGTTTGCCGGGTTTTGTAATCTCTGTCGCGGTAATTGCCAAGTGCGTTGCGATTCCTGTGGATGTGAGCTGTGGTGAGCCTGTTGCCTGTTGCCTCCTTATCTGTGTGCTTTGGTTTGGTTTCGCATTCAGGAACGCGTTCCCTGGCGCTGACAGCTCTTAAGTATGCAATAGTTTTTGCCCTGTTTGCCAACCCGACTTTATTATTCCGGCGTATTCAGCTGTACTTAAGCCCTAAGCTGCAGCTTTAAGCTTAGCAAAAGAAGGAAAGTATTTAGAGACCATCAAGAGGCTGGAGTAAGGAGTCCCTAAGGACTGTTATTTATTCTGTATACGTCTTTTACTTACTCTATTCTATTCATTCTAAGAGAATTTCTGTAATTATTTTAGATAGCTTCAACCTAATGGCATTTCATAATGTTCCTGCTTAAATTAAGCTTACGACTTGGATTGTAGTTATTTCATTTAAACTAAGAGATAAACTTCCCTTAAATTGAGATTTCTTGAAAGCTTTCACAAAGATTTCCTGAGAATGTTAAGCCCCAGGAAGGGAAAATGTTAAATTTCTAAATTTAAATTGATTCTCAACTAAATTACACACTGAATGTGCTGGCGAATGCGAATCGAAATACGAATCCATTTAATTTATGCAACATCAAAACTGATTATTTGCCCCGCCTGAAATCCATACCAAAATTGTAATGTGCTACCACAAACATGAATTTGAATAAATATTTGATTTGCTTTATTGCATCAGGCTATTGGTAGCTGCATAATTGAACACCGAATGCGATTAATTGCCAATGCAAACAGGAGTCCGAGGGATTGAATTATGGAAATATGGAATGCGAGACTGCAGCGTTATGGATTAAGCTGGCGGATTTTTATTTTAAAAATGTGTGTTTATGTATATCAATTAGTGTCAATCAAGCGTTAAATGCCGATCAATTAAATTATATTTGCTAATTATGTAAACACACATTTTTACAGAGGCTTTCCCTTGTGTCCCTTGCATCCAATTTGCATGGCCCGGCTGAGTATTTTCAGCCCGAGTGCACCATACATATTTTGATGACATTTGCACAACTTTGGACTGCAAGTGGGTTTTCGAGTGGGTTCTCATAGTTTGTGCCTTGTGCACGCAGCACGCATACGCACTGTTGGCCAGCACTTTTTCTTTTTTTTGCATATCGATGTCGACAGTGAGTGCAGTGCGCTAAAGTGCTTGCCGAGAGAGAGAGCTCCACAACGCTTTTTTTGTGCTGTAGCCGTGTCCATGAAGCGAATGCTCCTAATGCCTGGCACACAAATTGAAGCTCTTTGCGAGTTGCGAACGCATGCCCGCCGGATTGTCCTTGAGCCGCCCACACACATTTCCCTGCTGTCGCATTTTGTCGCAAGAGGATGAGAAAGAGTGTAATGGAATACCGAAAGCCGAAACTCTGTTCCTTTTTAAGGATATTCCTGGAATTTGGGCAGCAGGTAAGCCGCCCATAACGGATTAGGACTCTCCCCCGGAAAAACGCCCCATATCCTGGAGCAAAGCTAACACAAGCAGTCAGCGCAAACAGTTCCCTGCGCGCTGTTCGGATAATTGTTACAATATACAAAATTTTCATTTAGTTTATTTGCCCAGCGACAACATGTCGACACAGCAGCAGCAGCAGCAACATTGACAAACAGCCACGCCCACATCGCCCAGCTGCAGGAAGTTTGTGTATTTATTTGACTTATGTGCACAGCGAGAAATATTACAGAAATAGCTCTAGAACTGAATATAATTTATAATAATACTTTCAGACATTTTTATAAATGTTTTAAAAACTACACCTTTTTTTCTCATTATTTACTTAAATAATTATTCATTTTTATAACATTTCAGGGTTCTCTAATTTCACTCATAAGCATAAAACTAAGTAAAGGAATTATTTCCGAACCTATAAATAATATATATTCTTGATCAGCATTGATAACCGAATCAATCTAGCTATGTACGGCAAGAATTCATTTTTTACAAAGTTTTCGAAATTTTATAAGGGGTTACATCGTTAAAATTTTCAAAAATTCACAAAAATTTTAAACTTGAAATCTAGTAAGCAGATTTATTACCTTAATAAAAACTAACATGGGAACGCTTTCGGAAATAAGATTAATGCATTTTAGACTGAAATATGATGGATTTGTGTATGCAAGGGTATAGAAACTTCGGTTTCCCTCATTTTTCCAATGTTTATAAAAGTGTTTCTCAATGATTTAATACTTTAATTAATTGTTACATTTTTATTAAAATGTATTTTTGTTGAATAAAATAAATTATTCAAAATGAAATACCAATATTTCTTTATGTGCGTATAAGTTGTGCCTGTATGTTATTTAAAATGCAGACATATGTAGCTTATAGTTGTTATTGTTGTTATTGCTGCTGGTGCGCCATTAAAATCCCAGCAACATTGTTAATGAACTTTTAATGACTTTCTGCGAGTACACACACTAAAACAATATCAACTTTGGCCCACCCCCAAAAAACCGACTCTCTCTCTCGTGTACAGCAAACAAATCACAGGGCTTTGGCTTACATTTCGAGAGCTCAGCTCTTTTTTTTTCCTGACACGTTTTTGTGGAGCGACGCCCGAAACAAGCGTAAAATCTAAATCAAAAACAAACTTTTGACACACACACTGCAAGTGCAATTGCAACTACATTAATATGCGAAATTGGGAGTTCAGTGAAGGCCCCAAGGCTCCTGGCAACTTGTTTACAGGGCCCCGCTTTGGACGATATGTTGGCCGAAGTGCGGGTGCCAACGTGTGCCCTGCATCTTGATTAACAAATCAACTGGAATTGGAGTGTGATTGCATGCGATTCGGAGTCGGTAATCGGAAATCTTGGCTGCGGGCCAATAGGGAGAAGCAGAACCATCATCAATCCAAGGCAATGCGAAGCACTTTCGCCACGATTCGAGGGAAATAAATCCGTCAGCCGCAGGGAAAGTCAAGTAAATGAGGCTTAAAGTGAGTTAACATGTGCTGGTAGCTATGAAAAGTTTACCAATTTGAACCCTAGGTTCTAGTTTCTGTGCTTTTGTATATTTTTGAGTTGAGATTTCTTATTTTATTATAGTTTTTAAAATAGGTAATGTTTGTATATATTTAATGAAGCGGATTGGATTTGATTTAAGCTTAAAATTAACTTCGAATTATGTGCAACACATCCAAATAGTATAATTCATTTAAAGAATACCATAAAACCATGCTCTATGGAATATTTTAATCAAGCTTGTAACACTTTTTAAAGATTTATTCATGTGTGTAAATGTATGCCAGCGATATTCACACTTATTTAGATTAGCCACCAAAATGTAAACAATTGCTTTTGATAAAAGACTTTATAAGCGAAAACCGCACGATAAGACCTAAAGTTCCAGTTTCTGCTTGGGTTTATTTTTATGGCGGCTCTTATCGGTGATATTTAAACGCGCGTTTCTCACCACAGCCCCACAGTCGTACGCGATCTAGTGTTGAGAAAGGTGTGGTGAAGATCGATCAGCTGAGCGCTGAGCTTTTTTTGTTTGGACAAACAAATAAGTGAAATTATTGACCGGCAAAATTCTTATCTCTTAGTTTCGATCCGATTTAGTTCAAGTTCAAGATGAGTGCAAAGTGGGAAAGCAACGAAGAGATTCAAATCTTTCGCGAGTATCTCCGTATACCGACGGTTCATCCGAATGTGGATTACAGTGAGTCTGCGAAATGTGTAGATAAACCTCATATTTATGTATATGGGAGCTACGATAAGAGCCGTGATCTTTATGACCTTGCCATAAAACACGTCTGCTATTTATAGCCGCCTGCACGGAATTCTTGAAGCGCCAGGCTGCCAGGCTGGGCCTGCCCGTAGAAGTCATCTATCCGGTGAATGAGCAGAATCCCGTGGTGATCCTCAAGTGGGAGGGATCCCAGCCGGAGCTACCCTCCATTATCCTCAACTCGCACACCGATGTGGTGCCCGTGTTCGCAGAGAAATGGACCCATGGCCCTTTCAGTGCTGATATGGACGCAGAGGGCCGGATCTTTGCACGAGGCTCTCAGGATATGAAATGCGTGGGCACCCAGTACCTGGGAGCAGTGCGAGCCCTCAAGGCATCCGGCTATCAGCCAAAGAGGACGATTTACCTCACCTTCGTGCCGGACGAGGAGGTGGGCGGCCACCTGGGCATGCGGGAGCTGGTGAAGAGCGACTACTTCAAGAAGCTGAACGTAGGCTTCAGCTTCGACGAGGGCATCTCCAGCGAGGATGATACCTACGCCCTGTACTACGCCGAGCGCACATTGTGGCGTAGGTTTTACTTTTTACATATTCATTTAAATTTGGATATTATAAATCATTTCCCTTTATACCAACAGACTTAAAGTTCAAGTTCAGTGGCACTGCCGGACACGGATCTCTCTTGCTTCCCAACACAGCCGGAGAGAAGCTGAACTATGTGGTTGGCAAGATGATGGAGTTCCGCAAATCACAGGTCAAGAAACTGGCCGACGACTCCTCCATAGACATTGGCGATGTGACCACTGTGAACCTTACCCAACTAAGAGGAGGAGTGCAGAGCAATGTGGTTCCTCCGCTGCTGGAGGCTGTCTTTGATATTCGCATTGCTGTGACCGTGGACATTCCTGCTTTCGAGAAGCAGATTCGCGACTGGTGCGAGGAGGCTGGAGGCGGCATTGAGCTGGAATTCGAGATGAAGAACCCCTTCGTGGAGCCAACCAAAATAGATGCCTCGAATCCCTACTGGCTCGCCTTCAAGAAGGCTCTCGATGACCTGTAAGGACGAGCAGCTGCTGGAAACAAGACTTCAGCTTTGATTTTAATTATTTCTATTTTTTGCAGTGGCCTTAAGACGCGGGTTCGAGTTTTCCCCGGAGCCACTGACAGTCGTTATGTGCGCTATGCAGGCATTCCAGCTCTGGGCTTCTCGCCCATTAACAACACCCCCATTCTTCTCCACGATCACGATGAGTTCCTGAAGGCCGACACCTATTTGCATGGCATTGAGGTGTACAAGAAGCTTATTCCCGCTGTGGCCGACTCCTAAAGAACTGATTCCAATATTTTAAACAACGAAATTGTGCATTTTTATATTGTTTTCATTATATGTTTTTAAAGCTCTGTAAGAGTATTGGGTCAAAGTCCCAATGGCATATCAATAAAGTACATTTTAAAGACTATTTCCTTATCGAAAAATGTGTCCACTCGGTTTGACGGATTTGATTTTTCATTTTATCAGACAGTAGCTCTCGAATGTGTGTATCAAAGTAAACAAAGTTGCCGCCTGGCTTCCCGGGATTAATAGAGTACAGGAGATTCTGTGCACTCGGGGATGGAAAATAAATGGAATATGCAACCTCTCCCTAATCACCCGTGAGCTCAGAGTCAACAAATGATAACGGCTAGAAGTCAATTCATACTGGGACTTAAAACCGAGCAACAACGCCCATTGCCAGACAGTTGGATTATCACAGCAGAGTCTTCAGACCTAAAATGTGCCCCGAGCAATGGAAGAACAATGAGGAGATAAAAATATTCCAGGAGTATTTGCGTATTCCCACAGTTCATCCAAATGTGGATTATAGTAAGAGTTTCATAGTTCCTTCAAAGATATTCGTTATTAATATTAATTTCCAGCTGCCTGTGTGGAGTTCCTAAAGCGACAGGCCAGTAGCCTCAACCTGCCCGTCGATGTGGTTATTCCTGTCCTGCCATCGAAACCTGTGGTGATAATGAAGTGGTTAGGGAAGAGTCCCGAGCTGCCATCGATTATTTTGAACTCGCACATGGATGTGGTTCCCGTGTTTCCCGAAAAGTGGACCCACGACCCATTCGGTGCCCGCATGGACGAGGAGGGTCGAATTTATGCACGGGGAGCCCAGGACATGAAGTCAGTGGGATGTCAGTATCTGGCTGCCATTCGGGCACTAAAAGCCAGTGGCTACCAGCCCAGAAGGACTGTGTACCTGACTTATGTGCCCGATGAGGAGACCGGCGGGGATTTTGGCATGGCTACGCTGGTAAAAGGTGACTACTTCAGGCGCATGAATGTGGGCTTCAGCTTGGATGAGGGCATTGCCAGCGAGGACGAGTCATATCCCATATTCTATGCGGAACGCACTCTGTGGCGTGAGTTTGGGAGAATAGAAAATACCAATTTGACCCTAATCCCTATGCTTCTATAGATCTTCGCCTGAAATTCAGTGGCTCTTCCGGCCACGGCTCGCTGTTGTTGGAGAATACCCCGGGCGAGAAATTCCAGTATGTGTTGGAAAAGCTACTCCAATTTCGAGATTCCCAGGTTCAAAGGCTGGCCAATGACCCATCATTGGACATTGGTGATGTGACCACTGTAAACCTTACTCAGCTTAGCGGAGGAGTGCAAAGCAATGTGGTTCCTCCGCAGTTGGATGCAGTCTTCGACATTCGCATAGCCATTACCCAGGACGTGAATGAGCTCGAGTTGCAGATTCGCAAATGGTGCGAGGAGGCTGGAGGCGGAGTAGAATTGGATTTTATCCTAAAGTGCCCCTACGTGGAGCCAACCAAGATAGATGCCTCGAATCCCTTCTGGCTGGCCTTCAAGCAGAGCCTGGATGAACTGTGAGGGGGTACGGCTTAATGAGTTGCTCCCGCTAATAATGTTTTCGTTATTTCAGCGGCCTGAAAACCCGCATTCGCGTCTTCCCCGGAGCCACTGATAGCTGCTACGTCCGGGAGGCCGGAATTCCGGCCCTGGGCTTCTCACCCATTAACAACACTCCGGTGCTGCTGCACAATCACAATGAGTACCTGCGGGCCGATACCTATCTGCACGGCATTCAGGTGTACAGGAAGCTCATCCCGGCCATTGCTGACGCATAGAATATTCGGTGGAACTGGACTTTGGTTCATACCACAAGCACACACCTTGTGAATCAAACATGAATTAAATACCTTTAACTCGATACAATTCCAGGAGTCTTTGATTTGCTGCCTTATCACCATTAAATTTCATATCAGTTTTGTGAGTAATATTTTGAGTCGATGAGTGTTATGACCGAAATTAAATGTTTGAGTGTTATGATTACCTCAAATCATATCGATTGATGCAAATAAAACAAATAGCTGATAATAAAGGTGATTTACTTTTTTTCAAAAATTTTTTACACATTCATTAGTGTTGGAATTTTAATGGTGATTTGATTTTAAATAAAACATTGAGTATTCTATATTAACAAAAACAAAGCGAAAAACCATGTAATATATGTAACAACTCTAAAAACTTAAAAACATGAGGTGTTGTAAAATAATTAAGGGTACATAAACTTCGGTGAATAAAGCTTGTTCTGGATTTATTTTAACAATATCGAATATGGCCACCGTTTGCTATCAGACATTTGTTTTGGGAGTATTTTTTAACCTAGAATACATGTGGTTATCATTTTGGAAACAGTAAGCGCCGTTGCTGATAGCGCGCTCATTATTTGATAATAATTAAAAATCAAGGCCATAAAAGCAAAATCAAACCACGAAAATACCTGTATAAGCCCCTAGCTCACCGAGCGCTGCACATTCGAGTTGGATCGCTGACGGAATCAACATCGCCCCAAAATGAGCTCACAAAAATGGGAGGACAACGAGGAAATTAAGATTTTCCGGGACTACTTGCGCATTGCCACCGTGCAGCCAGATGTGGATTACAGTAAGAAAAGCATAGGAGATCCTTAAGACATTTCTCAAAATGATGAAAACTTGCAGCCGAGTGCGTGGAGTTCCTTAAGAAACAGGCCCATAGCCTGGATCTGCCCGTGGATGTCATTCATCCTGTGGAGGGCAAGCCAGTGGTGATCATTAAGTGGCTGGGAACCGAGCCGGAGCTGCCATCGATCATCCTGAACTCCCACATGGACGTAGTGCCAGTGTTCCGCGAAAAGTGGACCCATGATCCCTTCGCCGCCGACATCGATGAGGAGGGCAACATCTATGCCCGCGGCACACAGGACATGAAGTCGGTGGGCACTCAGTATCTCGGAGCTATTCGTCTGCTGAAGGCCAGCGGTGTCCAGCCCAAGCGTACCATATTCGTGACCTTTGTGCCGGACGAGGAGATTGGTGGCGAACTGGGCATGCAGGAGTTTGTCAAAACGGAGTACTATGCCAACATGAATGTGGGATTCAGTTTGGATGAGGGAGGCACCAGCGAAATCGACCTATTCTATGTCTTTTATGCCGAGCGTATGCGTTGGGGTAAGCTTACACAACCCTGGCTAAATTGAGGGAAAAACTAACAAAGATTCCAATCCTCTGCAGGACTTAAACTGAACTTCAGTGGCACCTCTGGACACGGCTCGATGCTACTCCCTAACACCGCCGGCGTGAAGCTGAACTATGTGCTGAACAAACTCATGGAGTTCCGGGACTCGCAGGTCCAGCGACTGGCCAGGGATCAGACCATCAACATCGGTGATGTGACCACCATCAATCTCACCCAGCTGAGCGGCGGAGTCCAGAGCAATGTGGTGCCGCCGCACTTTGAGGCTGTCTTCGACATGCGCCTGTCCATCACCCTAGATGTGGTTGCCTTTGAGAAGCAGATCCATGACTGGTGCGAGGAGGCGGGCGGCGGCATTGAGATCTCCTTCGATGAGAAGGAGCCCTATGTGGCACCCACCAAGATCGACGACTCGAATCCCTTCTGGCTGGCCTTCAAAGCTGCCACTGATGAGCTGTAAGTTTGAATCTAATATGTTCCTTTAGCAGTTAATAACCAAAAATGTATTTCAGTGGCCTGAAAATCTACCCAATTGTCTGTCCTGGAGCCACCGACAGCCGGAACATTCGTGCTAAGGGCATTCCTGCCCTCGGATTCTCACCCATCAAGAACACCACCATGCGAATCCACGACCACGACGAGTTTCTGGGAGCTGATACCTATTTGAAGGGTATTCAAATATACAAGAAAATTCTTGGCAACCTGGCCGAAGTCTGAAAATAATTCGAAATATAGAATGGAAACCTTATCGCATTAAAGATTGATCAGTTGTGCACAAATTGATATGAAAATACCAAACTCCACTATCTAATCTTGGTTTTATTAAACGAATATGTTTTCGCTACGAGATATCAACTTGTATCTAAGGAATACACAGATAATAGAAGATACACACTATAGAGTCTATATAGATACGAAGTGTGAACACCGGAAAGCCCACTAAACCCATTATAAAGCGAAAACAATCAATCAGAACCGAGGTGATGGATCATTCTTGGTAGAAACAGAATCTATTTATCCAGAAATACGACCCAGTTCTTACTTTGTAGTGGAGATAACACAGTTTTTGGGGACTTCCTAGGCAAGTGGTTTTTATGTCGGTAATAGAACTGCGGTTTCGTTGATAAAGCTGTTATTATCTCAACCACAAAACCCATTTTACAATCTCTTAAAGGCCTTGAACTTAAATCTTAAATAAGGATAGACCTAATATATATAAGACCAGTATACCTCAAACCATTCTCATTCGTTGAGTATCATTGCCAGAGACAAGATTACTTAACAGGTTAATACCAAAATGAGCTCAGCAAAGTGGGAAGACAACGAGGAAATTAAAATTTTCAGAGAATACCTGCGGATTCCAACCGTACACCCTGATGTTGATTACAGTAAGATATATTCTAAATACATTTAAATCCTTCTAACTATCCAATCTTTTAGCTGCTTGTGTTGAGTTCCTGAAGCGTCAGGCTAGCTCCTTGAATCTCCCCGTGGATGTGGTCTGTCCAGCAGGTCCATCGAAGCCAATAGTGATCATTAAGTGGCTGGGAAGCCAGCCGGAACTGCCATCGATTATTCTCAACTCTCACACGGATGTGGTGCCCGTGTTTCCGGACAAGTGGACCCATGATCCTTTCGCCGCCGACATCGACAAGGAGGGCAATATCTATGCCCGGGGCACTCAGGATATGAAGTCGGTGGGCACTCAATATCTCGGGGCTATTCGGTTGCTCCAGGCCAGTGGTTATCAACCCAAGAGGACCGTGTACGTGACCTTTGTCCCAGATGAGGAGACTGGCGGAGTCTTGGGAATGGCGGAGTTTGTCAAAACGGATTACTACCAGCAAATGAATGTGGGGTTCAGCCTGGACGAAGGAGCCACCAGCGCAACCGATTTGCACCATCTGTTCTATGCCGAGCGGCTACGATGGGGTAAGTTTAGAATATTCTCCAAGTTGGACTAATCACTGAGCCTTTTCCCTGTTCGGCAGGACTCAAGCTTAAATTCAGTGGAACCTCCGGACACGGCTCTCTGTTGTTGCCCAACACCGCTGGCGTGAAGCTTAACTACTTGGTAAATAAGCTGACAGAGTTCCGCACCTCGCAGGTGGAGCACCTGGAGAGAGATTCCAGCATCAACATAGGCGATGTGACTGCCGTGAATCTCACCCAGTTGAGCGGCGGAGTCCAGAGCAATGTGGTGCCACCGTTCTTCGAGGCAGTGTTCGACATGCGACTTGCCGTTACTGTAGATGTTGTGGCCTTCGAAAAACAGATTCGTGACTGGTGCGAGGAGGCAGGTGGTGGCATCGAGATCGACTTTTTCCAAAAGGAACCCTATGTGGCACCCACCAAGATGGACGACTCGAATCCCTACTGGGTAGCTTTGAAAGCCGCCATCGACGAACTGTGAGTACACACTTTTGTTGGTATTTAGGATTAGAAATTATCCTTGTTATTTTTCAGAGGTTTGAAGATTCGTCCCATTGTGTGTCCGGGTGCCACCGATAGCCGATTTATTCGCCAAAAGGGAACCCCCGCCATTGGGTTCTCACCAATCATAAATACAACAGTGAGGATCCATGATCATGATGAGTTCTTGCCGGCAGACACCTATTTGAATGGCATTGAAGTTTACAAGAAGATAATTCGCAATCTGGCTGAAGTATAATAATAAAGAGGGTCCGATAAAAAACATGCGTGTGCCAGATTTATGTACCAACGAATCTTATCAGATACATTTTTAATCTTTAAGATATAAAAGAGATACGAAGAAACTATTGCACTTTAATAAAAACCATGGCTCATAATAAACTATGCGAATTTAAGTTATTTTGTAACGAAGTTGGCCTAGTTTTTATTATTATAAATTATTATCAGTAAATAGCTTAAACTCTGTGTTGAATCACTAGCTAAAATTCTTTGTCGATCCTTGTTTTTTTCAACTCTTCCTGGAGCCATTTAAAATTGTAAGTTATACGTACCAGGAGACTAGAGACTGGAGGCTACCATGTGCTCTGCTCCACCGGAATGCTGTACGAGTTGCAATCCATCGACATGCTGTCGCCCTGTTTGCCAGAAGCCCCCTGATCACCTGCTTCCGGCAAAAAAACACTACTGTTGCAGTACAACATCCGTGTGCGAGCTGTGCAGTCAGTATCCAAAGCAACAGTTGTGCAGCAACTATATCCGGAACAAGTACATAGTGGATGCGCTGAGTTGTCTCTTCAAAATCAACCAATTCCAGATTTTGGCCACGCTATTCCGCCTGGCCTGTGACGAGATCAAACCGGTGTGCCAATATCCACGCGAACGTGTCTGGTCTGTGATGGAGAATGTAAAGTCACCATACACGGAGCTCCTCGATCTGACCATCTACGACAGCTTGCATGACCGCTGCGGGCAACCGGTCAATCCGATGGACAAGACCAATTCCTACAAGCTGATACGCCTGATATTCATGGTCACAGTGCTGGTACCCGAACAGCGAAGCCAACTTCTGGACATGCTGCAGCAACTCAATAGCCGCAGCATCTGTCCGGTGAACCTGCAGGGACTCCTTGCACTCATAGGGAATGTGAGCCTGTTCCAACTGGTGTCCGATATTTTGGAGCAAGACAAACGGCTTCGGAGATTCCGCGGTGCCAGGGAGTTCTGGCAGCTGAGCCACAAATACCAAGAGGTGACCACCGAGAAAAATAATCCGGTGACTCGCAAAAAGCGCCGCAAGAAGATTACCAAGAGCACCAAAGGCATCATTGAGCAGAAGAAACAGCCGCCGGCGAAAAAACAGGCCCCGCCGATCTTCTGCACTCGCCGGAGAGTGGAACCCGAGGAGACCGCGGAAGCCTCAACCCAACCCGAGGATGGCAACATGCGGGCTGAAGCCACCACGCACTCCCGACGCAGCAGCGTTGCTTCTCGGCGCTCCAGCAGAGGTTCCCAGAGGGTTCCGTCCCAGGCCAGATGGAATTATGCACCTGTAACGCGAACAGGTCCATTGCATCAGCATAGTACACCGATTCTTGGACTTCGCTCTCTATATCTCAATTGGTAGTAAAGAATATACAAATTTAAAGTCAAGATATATATTTGTCGTTATTAACGTGTGGGTATTGGCATGAAAGAAAACTAAACTAAACTCCTCCTGATTACTTTCTTCTCATACCTTCCTCTGGCTTCGTTAATAAACGCTGGTACTTTAGTCGATAAGATAACCCGATTATCATTTAAATCGTATAAGATACAAGGGTATAAAGGCAGTAGTTAACTTGAAACGTTTAATCGCCGTTTATTCCTCTTTGCGTTCACATTATTAGCAACGAAATTCCACCAGCATGACTCTTGAGAAATGGGAAAATAATGAGGAAATTCAAATATTCCGTGAATACTTGCGGATTCCTTCCGTGCATCCTGATATTGATTATAGTAAGGCTTTACAGTTAACTGATTTCACAAGAGTCCCTAATAAGTTTCCTATTAGCTGCCTGTGTGGAATTTATAAAGCGTCAGGCGGATTCCCTGGAACTCCCCGTGGATGCGGTCTATCCAGCAGTTGAGTCAAAACCTGTGGTAATCATCAAATGGCTGGGAACCTCTCCAGAGCTACCTTCGATCATCCTGAACTCCCATATGGACGTTGTGCCCGTATTTCCGGACAAGTGGACCCATGAACCCTTTAGCGCCCACTTGGATAAGGAGGGCAGGATCTTTGCCCGAGGTACTCAGGACATGAAATCGGTGGGCACTCAGTATCTCGGAGCAATTCGCCTGCTTAAAGCCAGCGGTTTTCAGCCCAAGCGTACTGTTTATGTGGCCTTTAATCCTGACGAGGAGACGGGTGGTGTGCTTGGAGTCGCAGAGTTTGTGAAAACAGACTACTACAAACAGATGAATGTGGGATTTAGCATGGACGAAGGAGCCACAAGCCCGAGTGATGTACATTTGCTTTTCTACGCCGAGCGGATTCGATGGGGTGAGTGTAGTCCTTGAGTTCTAGTTCTGACAGAAAGCTCATCAAACTCCTATTATTCCAGTTTTGAAATTGAAGGTTAGTGGAACCTCTGGGCATGGTTCTCTTTTGCTGCCCAACTCCGCCGGTGTGAAGTTTAACTATGTGTTGAACAAACTATTGGAATTCCGTGAGTCGCAGAATCAGCGACTGAAAGGCGACCAGAACTTGGACATTGGTGATGTCACCACTGTGAATCTCACCCAGTTGAGTGGCGGAGTGCAGAGCAATGTGGTTCCACCGCTCTTTGAGGCCGTCTTCGATATGCGATTGTCCATAACCCTGGACTTGGCTTCCTTTGAGAAGCAGATCCGTGAATGGTGTGCGGAGGCGGGCGGAGGGATTGAGATGGACTTCCTGCAAAAGGAATCTTATGTGGCACCCACTAAGCTGAACGATTCGAACCCCTTCTGGTTGGCTTTTAAAAAAGCCACAGATGAACTGTGAGTATGTTTGGACTTAGACATAAGAAATTGATTTTATTTTCTTTATATTTCAGTGGACTTAAGATAAAGCCCATTGTATGCTTCGGGGCCACTGACTGCCGTTTTATACGGGAGCAGGGAACACCAGCCATTGGCTTCTCTCCAATCATAAATACTCCTGTTCTAATCCACGATCATGATGAATTTTTGCAGGCTGATATGTACTTGAATGGCATTCAGGTATACAAGAAGATTATTCGCAATCTCTCTGAGGTCTAGTATAGCCTAATAAAGAATGACTTAATTTCTTTTAAAGGAAGAATTTACGTGTTTAAAATTTAGTTTTTGAGGGGTTATAAACTCATCCGTCATAGAAGAGCTGTTTATCGAAGGGTTGTTAACCCCTGCAATTTGTTTACATTGCCTAACTGCTGGGTGAGGAAATCGAGGAAAGTCAGGGTTTACCGGTGCTGCTATAAGCTATATATGTACTTTAAGGAAATTAATACTAGCTTCTGTCTAGACAAAGGTGTGGTCAGTGTCAGTGAAACCTACCTCCTGTCTATGCCGAGCAATAATTGTAAGAAAATACATTACTGTTTGATTTTATTGAACCTACTTGGATTTCTTAAGAATACATTTTCAAACGTTAAACACTTAACTACTGTCCAATTTCCATAAGGACACTTGGGAATCGTTGGCACACACATATCTTAATGTTCATTTTGAATAAATTATGTGATAAATAATTTAAAAATACAACTTAAAGTAGGCGTTATCACTTAGCTGGCAGCATGAACTTCAACCGGACTTTGAGTAATCGACTCTTAATCCCTAATCCACAGGGGATTTTAGGTGTGGGAGCCAGTATTCTGTGGCGAAAATGTCCTCCTGCCAGGCCATCAGGAACTGCAGGGAACTCACACCCACGGTGGATTTTGTTGCCGCATAGCGCATACGCCCCGTTGGCCCTTTCAGTTTGTTGGACTAAGGGCTGTCATCGATGTGACAGCATCGTACAGCGAGTTTTGCGAGACACTGTTACCAAGCGGACGAGACAGGTGGGAGTGAGTTTTGTCAGTTAGTCAAACAAAATAAATTTTAAGGCCCCCATCCAATGGGGGGTTAGGAGGAGCTAAACTCCTGCATGTCAGTCTGTGCAAATTGTCAGTTGGGCAGCACTTTGGAATGCCTGACATGTGAGTGGTGCCAAGGGCAATAAATTATGCTGGGGCCGCAGAATGAATAATGGCTACGTGCTCTCTCAAAAGCGTCCCTTTGCCAACCCAAAAGCCCCCCTCCCTTTTGGCCAGTTTCTGTTTTGGCTGCAACTGTGACCCGTGCGTGCCGATTAGACATGTTAATGCATGTGTCAGGGCAATGAAATATGTATTGATGGGGGGGTACCAAGAGAGTGCCCAGGGACCTGTCCTTTGTGCGGCCAGGAATTATGACAATTTATCAGGCGAAATGTCAGGCTGGTGGCAAGGTGGTGTTGGGGTATGGGCACTGAGCACTGAGCACTGCATGCCAAATGCCTTCCACGCAATTAACACTGACCATTAGTGGCGTCAGTTTGGCATAATGAGTGCAGTCCAGCCCCTTTAACGCTCTCGTTACGCCCGGCAACTTAATGCATATCATTTTTACTTTTAATGAGCTCCTGGCAGTTGGCAGGGCATCCATGCCCGCCTTTTTTTCGCCCTCCGTCGCCTCCTGTCTGGTCCCTCCAAAAGTGCACTTAATGTGCAGCAAGTTTTTGCAGCCCACCTGCCACGAGCCCTCTTGAAGGCAAGTTCTGGGTGCTTGGAGCTGGCTGTTGGCTGCTGGAACCAGAATTTCCTTTTTCCTCCTCGGTTCTGCTTTGCATTTTAAATTTCAGCGTGCCCGTGTGTGTGTGTGTGTGTGTGTGTGTGCGGGGAAAAGTTTGGCAACTTTTACATTTCAATTTTAATTTCTTTGCCCTACACTCAGTGGAAAAACTTTAAGCCACTGCACATGCCTCGAACCTGAGCAGATTCTTAATGGCCCACTCACACTAATTAGAGCCTCCAGAAGTTGGTGATGCCTTTAAGGATTCCTCCTCGAAGCAGCTTTCATTTGCATTTGACGGCAGCAGCGATTTTTTATTGCCCTCCGAAGTTTATGACGAATAAAACCCAAAACAACAATCACAATGAAAAAAACTCGTTCCTAATTAAATTCAATTTACTTGTGACTGCTGCGGCTCGATGTCCTGAGCTGGGAAGCCTCATGAACATTATGGCCGTGCAATTAAAATCCAAGATTAAACGAGCTCTGGCTTGTATCTGTGATGGCCTCCCCTTTGGAGTACATATGTACACTGAAAACATTATAGTATTCATAAACCTCAGAACGGGTTTTATAAATGAAAGGCTATTAAAATGAAATAACCACCTTTTATTTCCTGTAATTAGTTTAAATCTTGATTCTAAATATAATTTTCCCCATATTCTTTGGGCCAAGTGTATTTTTGTAGCGCCATGCCAAGTATGGCCCATACATTTGGCTGGGGACAACAAAGTGTTTTTATGAGACACAGAGGCAATTGCGCCGCCTTGCCTCCTAATGTTGCCACAGCTGCACCGTGGGCCGCACAGGTGACCAGAAAAGGCTGCGGATGCTCCTCCCTGGCTTCCTTGACGACATGAAAATTAATTTTGAATTAGGAAAGAAATGAGAAAGAAAGCGAGAAAAGTTCACCAAGTGGAGGAGGTTAATATGCCGTAGATCAAAGTCAGGCTCTAGATGAGATCCCATTTGCCACGCCTCTGCACTTCACACTCGAACACTTAGCCCTCCATTGTGCAAGGATATAGCTTCCTGTCGCCGGGATAATAAACGTAAGTTGAAGCTGCGGCAACGGCAGCTGACTGAAAAGTGTCATTAAAGCCCAAGCACGCCCACACGCACTCGCATCCACACGCTTAATAAAGTCAATTGAAGTCTCCATGGCGCTTATGTGTGTGTGTGTGTGGCAAATAATTTATTTTGTCGTTAAGTCCAACTCCCGGCAAATGGCGAAAAAAAGAGAGAGCGGCAAACTAATTAACTTGTTTAGCGCCAAAGCTGCACAATTTCTACGCTCGCAGCTTAAGCTTAAGCGCCGCTGCCGCCCAACTAATGAGCTCCTGTGTGCAGCTATAGCTTCATATCCTTTATAGTCCTAGTGCGTGATTGTGTGGGTACCCGCTATACACTTGGGTGTGGCTGAGTATGTGTGTGTGTGCGACATTAAGAGCGGTCCTGGGGAAAAATTCTTCTAAAAAGTTGCGCCTGATTAAGCCCTTGCGGCCATGGCTGAAATGGTGAAGCGTGTCTCTACCATAGGGTTGCCTGGCTTAAAATCTAGCCACACTTGGAGTTCAACTTTTGTTAGTTGGAAATTCCTGAATTCTGTTAAATTTTGGGGACAAAATGCCACGAAGCTTCATGTAATTTTGTCTGCATAACTTTGAAATTGCTTTTAGTAAATATCTTGGCATAACCTTAGTGTGGGAATATGTTGTAAAGACTATCTAACTAAATTACTTTTCTCAATACCAATATTTACTCTTTGCTCTGTACTCTTTAGTTTGAGAATATTTTTTTTTGCTTTGCATATTTAAATTAAATACTGTCGAAAAATAAATACATATATATGTAAGCAAAATGTTTGTAGCGTAAACTTTTACAAATACATATCTTTGTAGGGTATTATAATTTTAGTCAGAAGCTTAATTTATATAAAAAACTCACAAAAAGAAGAAGAAAACTAAACTTCCTCTAGCTAGAGCCTTGCTTAAGTGTAAGACTTGAGAATCGCAGAGGAGAGCGCACTATGTACCAAATAGTTAAGCAAAGCCTAACTTTCAGTCGAAAGCGTGAAACTTAGTGAAGGAGTCGTTTCCGACCCTATAAATCATATATATTCTTGATCAGCATCAACAGCCGACTCGATCTAGCCATGGTTGCCACATCCACTTGATCAAAGTCTATCAACCACCAAGCACTAGATTAGTAATTTATATAAAAAACACACAAAAAGAAGAAGAAGAAAACTAATCTTCCTCTAGCTATAGCCTTGCTTAAGTATAAGACTTGAGAATCGCAGAGGAGAGCGCTCTATGTACCAAATAGTTAAGCAAAGCCTATCTTTCAGTCGAAAGCGTGAAACTTAGTGAAGGAGTCGTTTCCGACCCTATAAATCATATATATTCTTGATCAGCATCAAAAGCTGAATCGATCAAGCTATGTCCGGCCAAAATGGATTTTTTTTTCAAAATCTTTTCATTGATCACAAAAAATTTAATTTTTTTATTTTTTAAACTGAGTATGCAGTTTTTTTAACCTTGAAAAAACTAGCACATAAACATTTTCCGAATTAAAATTAATGGATTTTTGGCTTAGTTATGATATTTGAAAAACTGTGATTTACCCAACAAAATTAGCATATCAAAATATCATTTTAATATATTTAGAATACCCATATTTCCGATTTTCTGATAGGTATTCACCCTTTGGCTTCTCGAAGTTAGATTTCATTCTTGGTTTTAATGTTTTCTTTGCTATTGAATGTCGGTTCGAATCTTGGAAGTTCTCCTGTAGCTCCTTTCTTTCACTGTCGCTGTGCAAACTTTATTGCATACGCCAAGGCGCAATATGAGACCGTACCGGAAATGGCATTGCGAGCCAAGCTAAAAAAGGAAAACAGGGAAAAACAGGGTGAAACAGGGAAAAACATGCAAAAGCAGAGCAAACTTGCCATTTTCCTTCAGCTCTTGCTGCGCATCAACGCTTCGCGACTTGGCGTCGTCTGTGTGGGCCACCAATTGCAATTTCATTTCCGTTCGCTGGCTTTTTATTTTTTAGCCCCTTTTCGCCGTCTGTCTGTGTATTTGCAGTCGCCGTTCCGTTTATTCGCGAGCAATAAGTATTTTTGGCTGCTGTTTCAGCTGCAGCTACAGCTTCTGTTTCTGTTTTTGTTTTTTTGGTGCTGGCTCAGATACGGGGAAATACTTGCATAAACTTTGAAGCCAACTTTGTGCTGGGCGAGGAACCGGAAGTGGGGCGGGTAGAGAGCCAGATAGCGAGGGCATCTAATTGAAACCGAGCAAAAGAATGTGGTGGTGGTAGAAGGAGTGGTGTGGAGTGGCTGTGGAGTGGCTGCGGAGTGGCACGGTGGCGTAACAAAGTGCAACAGGAAGTGGCAACAGCAGCTGCAATTGAATTTGCCACGAAAATGCAAAATGAAGCTGAAATAAAAAATGTAATTTTCC